ACCCTTACACCCCTAAACCCCCAAACCCCTCAGCCCCCAAACTGGACCTCCTGGTGCCTGCGGCGCGCGCCCGGCTGGGGTCCTGGAGATGTGGCGATGGAACATGTGGCGGGACACCGGACTGGAAGATCCAGGCGCGCCTTGCAGGCTTTGGGACTTAGTTCAAGATACATACAGTTTTTTTATTCCATGTTTTCTTGTTGAGCTCAGGTTTATAGGGTTAATAACTAAACAACCGCAAGGGTTTAGAACTCAGGGGTTCTACAGGGTTTGGGGGTAGAAATCAAGGGTCTCTGGTGTCCAGAATGCTTGCCCTGGCCACCACGGCCCGGTTTCGGGGGTTTAGGGTTCGGGTTTGGGGTAGGTTGGGGATTGGTGGAGCTTTAGCTGGACTTGTCTTCGGTGTCCCCCTGTCAAAACCCACATCCCACGGCATTTGGCTTCCAGCTTCCTTGGGCCAGGCTGCCAGAACGTGAGCCCGAAGCCCTCAACATAAACCCTAAGCCCTAAACCCTAAACCCTAAACCCTAAACCCTCAACCCTAAACCCGAGGCCCTAAACTCTAAACCCCTAAACCCGAAACCCAAAGCGGACCCCAATTTAGAGAATTGCTCATATCTCTTCGACGGACTGGCTTCGCCAGGCTACCGCAGCATGAGTTCGCCGCAGATGCCAGGCCACTTGAGCTGACTAGTACCAGGGTTTAGGGTTTAAGGTTTAGAGTTTAAGGTTTAGGGTTTAGGGCATGCAGGGGTGAGAGACTTATAGATTCCATGTATTTAAACTTGTGCCGAAGAAGTAGCACGTGTGAACACTGGTTTTGCATGCTTAGCAGGAATAGGACATATTCACTCTAGAAGCACTAGCCACTGCTAAAGCTAGTGAGCGTCTACTCTGCTACGTCTAACTGCCAGTCTCACACAATGTACATGCATTTCTACAGGTGCAGATCAATACAACGAGGACATGGTCCTAAAACATGTCTACGTGCGTATCCGTGCCTGCAGTGTACGCGCATGCATAGATTTGCATCCATGCATGTTCCTGCATGAGTGCGTTCATACCTGCTGCATCATCCGTGTGCGCATGCATGCATACAGTCCAGCCTAGCCCCTGTATCCAGCATTGCCTATCCGCCTCAGTCCCTAAACCCTAAACCCCTAGACCCTAAACCCTAAACCCCAAACCCGAAGCCCTGCTTACCTGCCCAGCCTTATTACCGAGCAACCCAACTACCTCAACTGCCTGTTTGCCTCCGCCTACCTGCTTGCCTCGCTTCTATACCTCGTCGTTTGATTATCCTTTCAAACGTATCGCTCTCTCTCTCTCTCTCCTTCCTCTCATCCTTTCTATCACTTGTCTGAGTATCTTTGCTTGGTCTCTGTCTCTCTCCCTCTCTCTCTCTCTCTCTCCCTCTCTCTCTCTCTCTCTCTCCCTCCCTCTGCCCCGAAGGTCTAGTGGTGGGTGCCGCGCTGGCGAGCCTTCTGTGGCTCCCCGTGGTTTGCCTGCTGGGCTTCAGGGAGCCAACCCCGGGCCAAAGAGCCCTGGGGGCCGTGTCCTTCCAGAGCAAGGAGAGCCAATTGAATGACAGGCATGTGGGGCGGGGAGGGTGGGGGGGGAAGTTTTCGGATTTGGGCTTTCCGGTTTGGGTTTAGGGTTTACGGTTTTGGAGGGTTCGTTTAAGGGCTCCCTTAAGTGTCCTTTTAAGGGTTCCTTTGAAGGTTTAGGATTTGCGGTTAAGGGCTGTTAGGCTTTGGAAACCCTTTCACCGCTAAGCCCTAATATATATGGGTTTCGAACAGGCTTCACCTCAAACCCTAGAAGCGGGGGGCATGGTTGGAGGGCTCTTGGATGGGAAGTAGTCAGATGTTGCTCTTTCAGCTAACGCCAAGGCACGAGGGAGTCGAGGTCGCTTGACAAATATACCCAAAGCCCCAACACCTAAACCCTAAACCCTAAAACCTCAACCCTTAACCCTGAAGCCTAAACCCGAGCACCTAAACCCTACATGCTAACACCTAAGCCCTAAACCCTAGGAAGCTGGATGCTTTGGGGCCACATCGACCAGGAGTGTTTACGGAAGACCGGGGCTTTTGCACGAACCTCGCCCCGGAATCCTTCAAATCCTTCAGGGGTTTCGGGTTCGGGGTTCAGGGTTTTGGGTTGGTTCAGGGTTCAGGGTTTAGGTTTTAGGGTTTAGGGTTTAGGTTTTAGGGTTTAGGGTTGAGGGTCCAGGGCCTAAGGCCCAGAAGTCCTTAGCCACGCCCTGAAGCCGGGTTTTGCAGACTTCAAGAGCCGAAGTCCCTGCATCCCCAAACCCGAGACCTCCGAACCCATAGACCCTAAACCCCTAAACCCTAAAGCCTAAACCCTAAACCCCTAGACCCTAAACCCTGAATTTCCTAAACCCTAAGCCCCAAACCCCTCGACCCCAGACCCTAAACCCTAAACCCCTAGAGCCTTCAACTCGAACCCTAGACCACACTCTTCATTGCCCTTATCCAGCAAGCCTTGCCACCTCCAGCTACTGTTTAAGGAAGAGAGATGAAGAAAGGGATTTAGGCGATCTAAGGTTAGCTGTTAAGGGTTTAAGGTCAAGGGCCATTGGGGGTATAGGGCTTGGTATTTCTGCTCCTTTTGGAGGCCGGTGATCGCCATCCTGGCCAGCAATTGTGGCATCCTCTACAACTGCAGCTCCTACATCCCTGCGTCGTATGCGCCCGCGCTACGTTTAGGGTTAGCCAAGCCCGACTGCTAGGATTCTTTTCGGTCTTGCCTTGCGGTGTTGTCGGTTCGAAGCCGTGAGCTTAGCACGTTTTGAGATTTAGAGCAAGAAACCCTAAACCCTAAACCCTAAACCCTAAACCCTAAACCCTAAACCCTAAACCCTGAACCCAGAGCCCTGAGACCGCAAGTCCTGAAGACCTACAGCACACTCTTTGCACCGAAGGGACTACCGTGACGTGAGCTGAGCCATACCTGAGACCTTCACCTTAAACCCTAAACTAAGCCCTCTAAGCCACGACACCACACCCCAAATCCTCAACCTAAAACTCCTAAACCCCTAAATATCTTATCCCTTAAACCCTCAAGCCCTGAAGCCCTTAAGCCCCAACCCCCAAACCCTTAAGCCCTTACACCCTTAAGCCCTAAACCCTAAACCCTAATGGGTAGTTCTCTAAATTAAGGTCCCTTTTAGGGTCCTTTTTATAAGGGTGCCGTACTATATTGGGGACCTAAAAAGGGACCCTAACCTAAACCCTAAACCCCTAAACCCCTAAACCCCTAAACCCTAAACCCTAAACCCTAAACCCTAAACCCTAAACCCTAATCGCGAACTTTGAGGTGCATCTGCTGGAGCAAGGCGGAGCCCAGGTGGTGCCTCTGCATCCCGAGATGCCTGCCCGGGCCCCAGAGTTGAACACAGGCAGTCGGGTTGAGGGTTTGGGGTTTAGGGCAGTAGGGTTTCGGGTTTAGGGTTCAGGGATAAGGGCTTAGGGAGAAGGGTTTAGGGTCTAGACCTAGGGGTTTAGGGTTCAGGGTCTAGGGCTTCTAGGACGCTTCCCAAAGAGCTGTGATGCCTTTGTGGCAGCTATTGGGTTTCAAGTTTGGGGTCCAATAAAGGGCCTTTCAATAATTAGAATAGGGTTTGGGGGGTATGTGATACTATAAGCATAAGAAGGAACTCCCCAAACCCTATTTTAATTCTTAAGGCCCCTACATTAGAGAGGGTTGGCAGGCCGAGTTGTCTTGAGATCCTAACCCCAACCCTAAACCCTAAACCCTAAACCCTAAACCCTAAACCCTAAACCCTAAACCGGAGACCCGAGACCGTAACATGAGGACGACGAGTTTGACCATGTCCTCGCCCACGTCAACGGCGCCATGACGATTGGAGGACCGAGGGTGTGTGGTTTAGGGTTCAGGGTTTAGGGTTTAGGGTTTAGGGGTTTAGGGGTTTGGGGTTTAGGGGTTTAGGGTTTAGGGATTTAGGGTTTAGGGGTTCAGAGTTTAGGGTGCGGGAGAGCTTGTGATTTTGGGATGTTCGAGGTAGGACATGCTCTGTGAGGGCTTCTGAAAATTAGAGTTTCCCATGTGTAGGTTGTCTCATGTAGGGGGTCTTAGTCGGTTGGGTCTCTGCTCGCGCTTTTCCGAAGCTCGCGTGTGAATCTTGGGGCGACGAGTTTGGGCGACTTGGAGGAGGATACCTTATTTGGTGTTCGAAACATTCGTATTCGTTCGCTTAGATCTCTACACATACCTTACTTGGTGTTCTGCAGAATCATAGTCAGAGTTGCTTCACCTATAACCCTACTTACTTATGTCGTTAGGCCACCCTAAGCCTCATGATGCCAGGTTTCTTTGACCTGAATGGTACGGCAGAGTACCACATCAGGAAGCTTTACGACCACGTGGCTCAGCTGGTTGGGGCTCTGGCTTCAGAGCATTTTTCAGGGCTGGTGGGTTTAGGGCCGTCAAGTCAAGCCCCTAACCTAAAGTTTAAACTGTAATCCCTACAGACTACAGCCGCATGCATTAAGCCCGAAGAAACCCTCAACCCCGAACTCCTCGTCTTTGCCTCTTCTGAAACTCCTTGGCCGCCCGCAGCCCTGAGGCGCTCAAGCTAGCCAAGGGCGGCGAGGTGTTCCCTCTCTGGGCAACCTGTGCCGCTTGGAATTACGATACAGGACTCAAGCCGTGGACTTAAAAGCGCTGCACCCTGAATTTCCAAACCCTAAAGCCTGAAACGTAAAACCTTTGCTTCCTTTGGAGGTCGGCCATTATTGGGACACCTCGGATCCTGTTCTATGCGGGGCTTGTTGAGGTTGCTTACCATAGGGGCCTAAATAATTGCCAACACTAATTATTTGCGGGTTCTTATATTACAATTAGAGCATAATATACCCCCAAGCCCTTTTCCAATTGTTTCGGCCACTACATTATTGGGGTTCTGTGGAGCCTCAGAAGCCTAAACCCTCAAGCTTGAACACCTGGCGACAAACCTGTGTCTGAGACGTGTGGGATTCTTCCGGTGAACCAAAACCCGAAGCCACAAGCCCTAGATCCCAAGTCCCAAAGCACGGTTTTGGGTTAAGGGTTCAGGGTTTAACCCTAAACCCTAAACCCCATAGGTCCAAAGGTCGGTATACATGATGTGGCTCAAATGGCCACCGGCGTGGTCTATGGCGAGTTCCTCCACCGCAACACGGCGGCCGAAAAGACTACGGGTAGAAGCTCGTTTTGGGGGTGCTGCCATGGGTTGCCATGATGATTACTATGGGGTTGGCTACCACAAGGGTTGCCATAAGGTTTGCCATGCATACAGGTTACTGTAAGGCTGCCAGGCTGTAGTACTCCCGACTAGTCATACCATATCATATCCCACAGCTGTATTCTAACCATTCAAGCCATGTTTTCCGGCTTCAGGCTTCACAACGCTTCATCTGTAACCCTATACCCTAAACTCGGAGAGACTGTGCATGTTCCGCCGCATGAAAGCCAAATCCTAACCCCCGAGCCCTTAACCACACTAAACCCTAAACCCTAAACCCTAAACCCTAAACCCTGAACCCTAAACCGTGAAGGCCCAGAGCCTGAACCCCCAAATCCTAAACTCTGGATACGCATTGAAGCGTTCCCTCGAGAAAGTTGAGCCGGGCACACGAATCAAGCTGTGAAGCCGTGACATGGGAGTTTCAGAACACGTAGATCTTTTCAAGAGCATTTTCTTCCCTTCCTTTCGGGGATCCGTGGAGAGGAGCCCTAAACCCTCAACCCCACACCCTAAACCCTAAACCCTAAACCCTAAACCCTAAACCCTAAACCCTAAACCCTAAACCCTAAACTTGAAAGCTCCTTGAGCCGTCAGTTCCCAAATCGCATCCCAGGCACCTCCGCAGACAACCTCGCGCTACCCCTGCGCTTCACGGGTGTTCAGGAGAAAGCTGTGCACCCCCGAGCCAAGGATTCCGGTAAGGGTTCCTTTGACGGTTCCCTAAGCCCTACATCCAACAGCCTGATCTTTGCTACAACAAGAAGCACACAAGGACCTTATGAGAACAGAACCCTGTACAAGAACCCCAGACAAACCCCAAAACTAGAAGAATACGAAGCAAGCGAACAAGAACCGAACAAGAACTCCTGCAAGAGACTCACAAGCACCCACAAAGAACCCTGTAAGACCAGAATGCTCAGAAGAACCATAAGTCCTTCATAAGCACCCCTAAACCCTAAATCCTAAACTCCTATACCCTAAACTCCTAAACCCAACTGTAAACAAAAAAACTCCTAAACCCTAAACCCTGAACCCTAAACCCCTAAACACTAAACCCTAAATAAGCTCCCTGCAGGAGAGGGAGCTTTTCGACGAGTCGTCGTTCCCAGGCCGCCTGGGGGGGGGGCCTTCGCCGCCTGGGGGCCTTTCGTCGGAGCTTTGTCCCTGGAGATGGCGGGTTCTCAGGGTTCTCAGGGTTTGGGGTTCAGGGTTTGGGGTTTAGGGTTGAGGGTTGAGGGTTCAGGGTTTAGGGTTTAGGGTTTTGGGTTGAGGGTTTCGGGTTGAGTTTTCAGGGCTTCGGAGGTGCAAGTAGGGTACAATTTCGTTTAGAAGACTTTGGAGGCCTTCTGGCGATTTACAGGGTGTCTGTGCGGTTTAGAGTTTAAAGGGTTCATCGTGCTTCCATAGAAGGGTTCCAGATTGTGTATGGTTGTGTCGGAGTTCATAGGGATTTGCCGGCCGTTTTGGTTACGCATGCCAGTAAGGCTGGTAGCACACCCCAAGTTAGATATGTCGGCAAAGCAGAATGCACAGGAGCGCGCAGCATGCAGTTGCCTCATCGCTCCCGGCTTAAGGTTGAGGTTTTTCAGCTTGTAGGGATTTCTGACAGCCGGCGCAGTTACAAGGTTGTGCCTCGGCGGGTCCTCGCCGTCTGCTCCGATGCTCCCCAGACTAGAGTAGCCTGCCCCCCTTCGGGTCATCCCCCTTTCTCTGCGCTTCGGTATACAGATGTGATGAACTTCCCCACCTCCTCCTGTAAGCCGGGAAGCTGTGGAAGTGAGCGATTTATCCCACCCGAATTGGCATACCATACGCCATACCACACGTCGTGAAGGGGGGGGGGGGCAGAATACGCGGCTCACAACCAGACGTAATCTGTGTCTGAGCTTGCCGTGACTCCGCAGGGTCTGCGGTCTATCGCCAGTGGCTGCAAGACGCAGCGCTGACCTTCCACCACCATCTCTGGGGCATCCGTCCCGAGACTTTTCAGCGATTCCAGGCAATTGGGGATGCTTCTCCGTGCCGCAGGTGCATAGATCCTGCTACATCGAAGTTACTCTAACTAGTACTATTGCTACTAATTCCATTAGTGTTACGATTATTGTGAGTATGACCACGTCAGGATGCTAAGAGAATAGAGGTTTCGGGTTTTAGATTAGCCGGTGAGGAGGTTTGGGACGGTTGCCAGGGCTGCTTGCTCTGCAGAACGTCATGCTACAGGCTTTGTGGCTTCCGGGCACCGGGGTACCTTTGTACAGTGTATTTCAAACAGCATAGAATTTAACCGTTTGTATACGGACACCCCATCTATCTACCTGTCTCTCTCTCTCTCTCTCTGTCTGTCTCTGTCTCTATCTTTCTCTCTCCCTGTCTCTCTCTCTCTCCCTCTCCGTCTCGCTATCTCGCTATCTCGCTATCTCGCTATCTCTCTCTCTCTGTATACATATGTATGCAATCCAAAAATGAATACAAACTTATAATCAAATATAGATAGCGATATTATTGAGTAATTAAATACATATACATATATATACATATACATATATACATATATATATATATACATACATATATATATATATATATGTGTATATTCATATTCCATTTACACATCTATCGGCGCAGGTCGATCGTGCTTCATTCACATATCGTCCCAGGTCGAACATGCTTCATTCAGGTGTCAAGCTATCTGGAGCTTTCGCTTTTGGTCTCAGGGTCCGCAGCGTGCCCCAGCCAGATTCAGCCGGGCATCCTACGAATTATCGTAGCAGATGACATGTCCGAAGTCGGGGTTTGATTGACCCTGTGTAGTCGGGGCTTACTCCCTGGAGAACCCCTGCAAAAGGCCCTGGTTCGCTAAGTTGGAACCGGCTCCGGTGCTTTTTCGGACAGGCGCTGCGCGACTCCTTTGAGATAGTCGCAACCGCCGTAGATCGCAATGGCCAGGAGTTTATAGCGCTCATGCAGGGGCGCTCCTTGGACGGGAAAAACAGGGTGAACGGGTTTCCAAGCACTATGTTTATCATCGATATTGTCTTCCACATGCTTTTGATCGCATTGCCGAAAGCTTTGGCTTCAACGTGATACAAACAATGCCATCTTCAACATGTAGTTAGACTGCCGGAGCCTTCTGCACCTTTTTGTTAGAGCACGTGGGACTTATTGACTAAGGGTGTGAATAACGCAGCTAATAGTTGCAACCCTACTTGCCACGCCCCTGATCCTTGGTTAAACCCGAAAACTCGAAACCCGAAGCCCAAACCCTAAACCCTTACAGCCTTACTTTTCAAAGCCTAGTTCCTAAACTACCCTGGTTTCGTAGTGGATCGTCTTCGTGGCAGCAGACGTGTACAGAGCTTCCGGAAGCCCACCTTGGTCCGCCCGGTGATTTCGGACTGTTTCGCACAGGATCCAGGGACCTCTTCCGCAATAGTTGTAACATAGGGGCTCAAGTAATTACCCATTTTGGGGGTTCCTTGGTGTGATTCTAGTATAACATGCCCCAACACCCCGTTTTAGTTATTAAGGCCCCTACATTAGGGTTTTGGGGTTTCGGGTTTTGGTTTTTTTTGGGGGTTTACGGTTCAGGCCACTGAAGGGATGCCACATCCTGCATGCTGTGTAATCACAGCACGTAGCCAGTAGCGAAGCCCCGAGGTCCGATCGCCTGAACCCCAAAATCAACAAAACTCCCCCCAAAAACCCAAAGGCCCTGGAGCTCGGGGTTTAGGGTTTGGGGTTTAGGGTTTAGGGTTTAGGGTTTAGGGTCTAGGGGCTTCAGAGCATGTCTGCGCTGCGAGGCCATCACGCCATCTTCGCTTCAGCCTTCCACCCAGACGCTCTTCTTGAACTGCAATGCTTTCTTCTTCGATATGAGGGGATCTAGGATTTAGGGTATAGGATCTAGGATATGAGGCTTTGGGATTTATACGGTTTAGGGTTTGGGATCTAGGATATCAGGCTTCGTGCCACGACATAAAGAGCAGCCCAGGAAAAACCCGCCTTCGAGTGGGGGCTGCACAGAACGGGCCTGCTCCAGAACACGCAGATTCCGCACTCGCGCCGAGTGGCATGGCATCATGCTTGACCCTTGAATCCCAAACACCTGCAAACCCTAAACCCTAAACCCTAAACCCTAAACCCTAAACCCGAAACCCTAAACCCGAAACCCTAAACCCTAACCCTAAACCCTAAACCCTAAAAAGCCCCCCGAGCACAGTCGGCTAGCGTGCCGACCCTTGACCCTCCGAGGTTTGGGGTTTTGGGTTTTGGCTTCGGTGGATTGAGAAGGGCCCTTAGAAATAGCCACCGGCGCCCCTAAAGCCCCAAAGCATACATCCTTAACTGTAGATGCCAAACTCTCCCTACTCGTGCATGCCCAGGCAATCCTGGTGAACCTCCACTTTGGTGCTGCCTTCGTCCAGCAGGCTTGTCACACCTCATAACCCTTTTATTATCGCATCTTTTCTTTCCATATTAATATTCAACCATTACCTACATAAAGCATAGGCAAAAGGTTGCCTACCGTATAGTTTTAGTAAATCATCGTTATTGCCACCTGTGTTACCAGTCATGGGTCTTTCTAGTCTTCCTGTTGCCCTTGCCAGTCAGCCTGCATTCGCAAGAGTATGCTTTCGAGTATGATGAGGCAGACGATGACAATGATGAACTTTGTTGCTGCTGTCATTCTTGATGATCCTTTTCATTATCACCCATCTTGTTCTAATCATCGTCATGGTCATCATCACCACCACCACCATCATCATCATCATCGTCATCACCATCACCACTACAATCATCACCGTCATCACCACCACCATTACCATCATCCCCGTCATCATCATCATGATGATCATCATCATCATCCTCATTATTTTCGTCACCGTCGTCATCATACTCCTCCTTCTCTCTCATCGTCGTCGTCATCATTGTCATCATCATCATCTTCTTCATCATCACCATTACCATCATCATCATCATCATCATCATCATCAACATTACCATCATCATCATCATCATCATCATCAACATCATCATCATCATCATCTTCATCATCACCATTACCATCATCATCATCATCATCACCACTACAATCATCACCGTCATCACCACCACCATTACCATCATCCCCGTCATCATCATCATCATGATCATCATCATCATCATCATCATTTTGGTCACCATCGTCATCATACTCCTCCTTCCCATCGTCGTCGTCATCATTGTCATCATCATCATCATCATCATCTTCATCATCATCATCATCGTCACCATCATCATCATCATCATCATCATCATCAACATCATATCATGCTCAACCGGTCATTTCACACAATTGGCTAAGTCAATGGACAGAAACTTACCCCCCCCCCCCAGCCAGGACCCCCTAAAACCTCCACCGACTTTGCTTGGTGCCCGAAGTCCGACACTGAAAAGCACGAAGCTGTTTTTGTTCTGACGTAAAACCCTGACGCCTAAACCATGTCTAGGCGCCGGCTGACAAAAGTCAACTCAACTTAAAAGCCAGAACCACTTGTAGGCTCCCAAAATCTAAAAACACTTCCAGGAACCCTAAGCTCTGAACCATGATTGTGGTACTCCATGTAAAAACCAGAACCAATTCTAGGCTCTTCTTGGAACCCTAAGCCCTGAACCACCATCAGGCTCGGCAGAACCTCCGGAAGTTTCTGCCCGGAGAGCTGCCCCGTCCTGAGATGTTTGTGGGCTTTAGGGTTTAGGGTTTTGGGGTTTAGGGCTTTCGAACTTAGGCTTTAGGGTTAGGGTTTCAGGGTTTAGGGTTGATGGGGTCTTATAGGGGGTTTTTAGGGTTTTACCAATTCGTTCATGTCTTTTGCGAGCTTTTTCGAGGGCTTCAGGGGGTCTTAGGGGAGGTTTTTGCAGGGTTGTCAGGCCATTTAAAACTCCAAGCTTCAAGGTGGAAGGGGAGTTTAGGGTTTATAGGGTTTAGGGAGGAATTCGCGGGCTTTGCTTTTCGGTGGGAGATCGGGGTAGCCTCCCCTGAACGGGATGCGCTTAACCTTAAATCGTAAACCGTAAACCAGTCCCCTACTCCCTAAACCCTAAGCCGCAAACCGTAAACTCAAGTGGAAGTGGTTATACTTTATCATTGGAACGGATAAATGCTGTAGAATACGCAACATATATACCGTGTAATCAACAGTATATATATATATATATATATAATATATATATATATTAGTGGCACTTTCATTTCTGAGGTCAAAGCGCCTGATCTACAACCATCGCGTGGACTATACCGCGCGCTTTCCGGAGCTCATCCGCTACTTTGAGCAGAGCTACATCTTCTGAGGGGAGGAACCCAGTGAGCCCAAGATCCCTCGATACGGTTTTGGGTTTAGGGTGTAGGGTTTAGGGCTTCGGGTTTAGGGCTTAGGGTTTAGGGTTTACGGCTTAGGGTTTGGGTTTTGGGTCAATTTGGGGTTTAGGGTTTGGGGTTTAGGGCTTAGGGTTTGGGTTTTGGGTTAATTTGGGGTTTGGGTTTTGGGGTTTAGGGAAGGAAGATCCTTCGGATCCTCGAGGGATCCGCAACGTGATTTACGGTACTTTGCTTGGGCTCTCTGAGTTTAGTTTAAGGTTTGGCATGGAGGACACCTTTAGGTTTCGCATGGAGGAGAACTGAGCCCTGTCTGAACTCCAAGCCCCCGAACCCTAAACCCTGAACCCGAAACCCTGAACCCTAAACCGCAAACCCTGAACCCTGAACCCTGAACCCTGAACCCTGAACCCTGAACCCTGAACCCTGAACCCTAAACCCCTAAA